GGCTCGGCGCTCGTTCCTCCTCCCGCAGCAGTTGTGCTTCCCGCCCGCTCCTGCTCTTCTGTGCCTTGCTCCGAGTTTGTTTTGCAGTTGTCTTTCAGCCGCGTAGCTTATACCCGCTGGCTGCTTTGGCTGCGGGCAGCACCGAGCTCCACATTGCATGGCCGCGGTGGTTCTGCCGAGTGCAAACCTCAGCAGTCGAGACAGAAACAGGACGTGACTCCTTAATTCTTTCCTCGAACAAAGCAGCGACACCCACCCCCCCCCAGGTTTCTTAACGTTACTCATTTATTAAAGGAAAGGATTTCATGAGAGTGGAGTAAAGAATAATACTCCTTAAAAGTCAATCATTTGTTTGGTCAAGGCTTAATTTTTTTTGGAAACAGATTCTGCTGTTTCATACTGATGCAATGAGACAAGGGAAGATACAGTTCTTGCCCATTCTTCCAGACTGTGGTTGATTTGGAATAACCCTCGAACACGTGGTTGTGGTTCAAGCAGTTATTCGTGTTTGCAGAGGTAACCTGCAAGGCCTTGTGTGCTGAAGTAGAAGTGGTGGCTGCATCAGTGCTCGCTGTACTCTGGATCACTTGTAGTTACATAAAACGTATTTTAAGGTTCAAATAATGCCCTTTTGCACCTGCTTGTAACAATTCAAGGATTGTCTTAGACCAGGCAGTTGCTGTTTCTCAGGTTTGCAAGTCACACCTTTTGTTTTGGACGGATCAAAATAGATGGTGCCGTTAAAAAATCAAGAAATGCTGAAGTTAGCTGAAATCTTACTGTCAAAACACAAACAGATTTCACAAGAGTTCTGTGTTATTCCGTCTGGTTTTGGCTGTTTCCACAGCAAACTTATTGTAGAAGACTCTTCATCCTAACAGGGGATCTTAAACCAAAGGTTGATGCTTCACTGTTGGTCTGCTTTGCCATTTCACTGTGATTTAGTTGTGCCAGAGCTGGAAAGGACACACAAAATAAGTACTTTATCTTACGTAGATGAGGAAGCAATTTTTGAGCACTAGATTTTAGGTGCCAAGTTCTGTCAAAACATAAGAAACCAGAGAAATCATTCCTTCACCACATTTTTTACTTAACCACAAGCCAAGAAGGATTTTTGTGTGTCCCTGCCTACTCTCCACACATGAATTATATATATGGACAGGTCTGCTCTTCTGCAGGATGATTGTGCTAGTTCTGATCCCTAAAAATAGGAACATTTCTGAGTTACTTCTTTAAGGCATTGTGTTGACTCTTTAAAGTGTTTTCATTGAGTTGTTTCTGCGATAAACTTTCTCACTTCTGGGTTTTCATCTTTACAGTGTTTTTTTTTAGTCATGCAGTCTTAAAAAGAAAATGCCTAGAATAGCAGGTTTTTATATTTTCCTAACTGACCTCAGGGCCACGTTTTATCCCTTGATTAAAACAGAATGGCCCCAGATTTATTAAAAGAAAATAGAGGATTAAGAATAAAAAACAAGTGAGAAGATCTTTCACATCTGTCTTTGCAATCTTGTGGGCAAGTCAGATAATGGAAACAATGAGGTTGCATGGAGGCTCAGGAATCATAAGGGAACTGGAATTCTTTGGGGAAGCAGCTCAGCAGCATCAGCTGTGGCTTTGCTGCAGTTTGGTTTTTTGAAGCAGAAATACTCTCATTTCCCATCATTTCAGTGAGGTTCCAGTTCATATTTGTGAAATGCTCAGAGACTGAGGTATGGTCTCTGACCACAGACATTCAAACTCAGACATTCATAAAAGAGAAACGACTCCCAAAGGAAATGGCCCTCCAAGGAAACAGCCCTCGAACTCGCATGACTGTCAGCATGTGATAATTGAAAATCTACTTACATTTGGTATTAAATCTATTCTCATAGTGTTTTCTAGTATTAGGAATGTGATTGTTCTGAATTTCTGTTTCCAGTCAAACTTCTACTTGGCTGTATTGACTGTTGCTGAAAGTTACCAAAACTGCTGGGTGCATTTGGAGTTTTTTAATATATGAAAAGCAGTCTCAAGTTTCATTACTTGAGGATGAAACCTGGAATTGAAAATAAAGTGCTAAAACAGACACACGCCTGTCCAAACCAGTACAACCTGTGAAATGGCTGAGCAGTGGAGGAAGGGAGAGTGTAAGGAGGGAGTGAAGACAAGCTGAAGGAGTAGGACAGCCTAATCCCTTCCCTGCTCAGGCTGTCCTTGCTGAATGGTGCCTGGCAGGAGAGTCACAGCCTGTGTGGAGGTACATGGTTGCAGTACCTGATGCAATAACTTTAAAGCGTCATGTGTTCTTCACCTGCCCAAATCCTGTATTTTTCAGCTGTGTTTTTCACAGTAAGAAATTTGTGTTGGCATCATGTTGGTTTTAACACCTTCTCACTGGCTGGTGCAGAAGGTGTCCGTGTGGATTAGGTGGAGGGAAGTGAGCTGGGGGACTCGTAGTATCATAGCAGAGAGGATTTTCATTTGGAAGTGTAGAAATTCTTCCGGCTCTGGCTCATTGGACAGAGAAATCTGAAAAGGGCAGTTGTTTGTGTCTTCTGGCTGTTTGCTCTTAAAACAGGGCCTGGGAAACAACATGTTGTGTAAATAGTTGCAGCCTTGCATCATGGCCCGAGAAAGCCTCCCCTGGCTGCTGCATCATGCCTTAGGCTTTTCTCAGCTAGACATTCTGAAGGAAATAACAGAAATAGTGCTGTGCTTTTAGCTGTAGGTGCTGCCTCTCTTAATGGGGCTGACTGGTCCTCATGTCCTTATTATTGCCCTGCACACACAGATTGTGCCTTTTGTGGCAGGAATCAAATAGTTCTTAGCCTGTCATAAATTTTCATGCATAAATATTCTGGGTTGAATTTTCTCTCCAGAAGAAATTTGAAGAAGACAAATCAGAATAAAATGTAAGCTGTAAATATTCTTTTAAAGTGGTTGAGAGAGGACAAAATAAACTTGGTGTAAGTCTGCAGTTTAAAAATATTTAATTTGTTGAATTGAAAAATATATTGTCTTCTCTGCACGACGAGAATCACTTCAAAATCTGAAAAATTGTTAGGAGACACTTTTTTCCCTTGTCTTTAATACAACATTTAAATAGCAGGAAAAAAGTGATGAATTTTACAGTTTTTCTCCTTATTTTTTGCTTTTCCTATAGGTGAAGTAACAATGGATACAATATTATCCCGATTGAAGCAGCTCAGCCCTGATGAACTGAGAGAAGAGATTGTGAGGGCAGGACTGAAATGTGGGCCCATTACTGCAACTACGAGGTTTATTTTTGAAAAAAAATTGGCCCAGGCATTGTTTGAGCAGCAAAGAGCATTGGAAGGAGAAGGATCTGCTCCGTCAGAGGAGGCTGTGGGAAATGTCCCAACTGCAGCAGCGAATCACAACGGCCATGGAAGTGCTGCTGAAGAGACAGACTTTGGGTACTCCATGGGCCTGAACCCTCCCGAAGAAGATGCTGTGACACACATGAACTGTTCAGCTCCAGCCTGTGCAGCAGGGTGTGTTGATTCACAAATCAGTGCTCAGACACCATCCAGAAATCCTCCACTGTTCTATGGTGTTTGTCCAGTTTATGATGACATCTTGGCAAGGAATGGTAAGTACTCATTTCCTTTATTTCCAGTGATAAGCATTTTGCAGTCATGTCTACATAGACCTTATTTTCTGTAGCAGGTGATATTTTAAGCATTAGTATTTTAATTTCTTGAAGTATTTTTTTTGTTTCTGTAAGTAATATTTATTTAATCTTCTGAGGGGTAGAAACATGGTTATAAGACATCCCAGGTGTTCTGCCATAATAATCCTACACATGAGGATCCTTGACCCAGTGTAGCTCAGATGTAGACAGTTATTTCCTGTTGCTACACTCAAACCTTTCCTGTGCCTTTAATCTCTCTCAAGAATCAGAACTAATCCTGTCAATAAACAGTCAAAAATTATTTATACTGTCATCAGTTGAAGCTTACATGGTCTCTTCTGAAAGTTTTCACCTTTTCCTTTCTGTTTTAATACCAAATGCTATTAAACACCAAATGGTATCTGGAAGCATCAGCCATTCTTCACATTTTATTTACGAATTCTGCAGTGAGGAGTTACTCAATTATCTGGTGGCAGGAGCACAGCAGTGCACAGAGGATCATTCACTCTGAGATCGTGTTAAAAATTCTTACTAATAAACAGTATATTCAGATATCTTAATTTGAACAAGTTATTGTTGAAGCAAAAGGAGAGGAAGTAGAAGGATTTGATTAGTATCTGAGGTTCTGTGTAGAGCTGTTAAAGTTGTGACAGTGGATCAGTTACATAGTTGGCCTTTCTCAAAGAGAGAACATAAAAAGTAATGCAGGGAAATAAGCTTATTTGGTTGTCAGTGTGGGTGTGAAACACTCACTTGTTGAAGCTGTGCCATTGGTTAGAAAAGGTATTCAGGTATTGATTGGTATGAATGGCCAAACCCTCAGCACGTATCACCTGATGCTAGTTGGAGTGTGTAAGAGTCTTCGACTCAGTTTCCAAGAAAGAAAATCTAAAAGGACTTTTGACTGTTATGCCATGTTTGGAAGAGAAGCAGTTTGAGACCGAAGCTGGAAGGATAGTGTAAGACTTCTGTAATGTTTCTAGTAACAAACCTGAGGTTATTGAAAAAATGTGACTTTGATTGTTCTTTGTTGCAGAGAGAATACATGTGTATGAAGATAAAAAGGAAGCTCTCCAAGCTGTTAAGATGATTAAGGGTTCACGTTTTAAAGCTTTTACAAACAGAGAGGATGCTGAGAAATTTGCTAAAGGGATCTGTGATTATTTCCCATCTCCAAGCAAGTCCTCTTTATGTTTGTCTCCAGTGAAAATGGGATCCTTTAACAGAGGTGAGGGGGTTCATCTGTCTGCAGTCAGTACAGTATACAGGGTTACATTTTTTGTGAGAGGAGCAACAACTTCAATATACTAATAACAGAAAAAAATCGAAAGGTGAAGCATCTTATAAACTGAAGTTTAAAACAATGTTTGTTTTAAATGTAAAAACTGTTGCTGCTCTTCCAAAGCTGAAATGTTGGTAATGGTCTGCATAGATACATTGCTTAGTAGTCCATGGTTTTATTTGTTTGGACTTGATTTTAGGCATAGGCTTCAGGATTTTCAGGTTTTAGTAAGACGCTGATAAAATTGCGCAGTATATTCAAACTGTGCTTAATTGTAAAGTAAATTTGTAAGTTCACAAATAAAATGGTAACCAATAATCATGTTTCACGGTGTTCCCAGTTGCTAGATTAAAGGGATCCAGGAGTCACAGAACTGCAAAAGCAAATTTAACGTACAGAAAATTGTTACTTTTAAGTTTGGATGGAAGCAGACTGCTAATTATAAGATTTACTAGTCCCTGTTAAAGTCTGAAAGAGTTTTACAAGATGATTAATCATTTTCCTCTCCCTCCTTATTACTAACTATTACTGTATTTAAATGTCTTGTTATTAGCCTCAGTTTTCTTACTTCTGTACATTAAGGATGCAAAATTAATACATTTTGTGGATTAAAAGCTCATTTTCCTGGTCTGAGTCTGAAAACAGTGATCACTGTAAAGAAGGTATCTAGTAGAGCATGTGACTTTTGTTTGGCAGATGGCTTGTGCTCCCCTGAGACCGAAACTGCTAATAAGGAGAGAGCCAACAGCTATAAAAGTCCACGGACTCAAGATCTCACTGCTAAACTTCGGAAAGCTGTTGAGAAAGGAGATACAGCAACTTTCTCAGAACTTATCTGGAGTAACCCTCGCTATCTCATCGGGTCAGGAGACAACCCAACAGTTGTACAGGTGAAAAAGAAAACAAAATAGAAAAACCTAAGTTGTGGTTTAGTGATGTAGCATTTGGGGCCTGATGGTGGAGCTGGAAGGAATGTTGTTTCCTACTCTTTCTGCAGGATACTTTGTTTTAACCAGTGCAGAGTTTCTCTGTGTAATTGATAGTAGCTGAAAATTAAGAGAAGTGTGGCAGCTGTCTGTCTCATGTAAGTCACACATCAGGTTCCCTTCCCGGCTGAGATTTCACTTTGCCCCAGAGCAGAGGAACTGAGTATGCAGTTCTTTAG